CACACACGCAGTGCGACGCCAGCTGGACACAGAAACTTGTCGAATATGCGGGCCGTTCTTCTGTTTCAGTATGATTTCGGCGATACCCTGTCTAGTCAGGGTAGAACTAGAAGTACTCTTACTACAACAGGGTAAAAGCAATCGTACACTTTTTGACTAAGGGTCACGGAAAAAATGCCCTTACAAAATCAGGGTGATCCTGAAAAAGCGGCCGCTGGCAAGGACAATCAGGGTAAAACACCCTTCAAATTTGAGGCCTGAATGGTCGCCCTCGCACACACAACGCGCAGCAAACATCGGTAATTTTTTTAAAGGGCCAATCGGCCCCTCACACCCGCACCCTGCACAAAGTGGGAGGTGATTTTGGTGAAGGGCCAGTCAGCTCCCTCACACAGCCCCCATTACGCACGGGCCTGTGAGTTTGGTGAAGGGCCGGTAACCGCCCTCACAAAGCCCCCCGCAAGCATCGCGCTCTGATTTTGGCTAAGGGCCAATCAGCTTCCCTCACAGTTAAATCACGCTCCTCTGGTATTACACAAATCAGAGTCATCCCCCCATGCAAAGTTGAGGCTTTAGAGTACACTAGCAGAAAAAGTCTAAAAATCAGCGTAGGTACATAAATCTTCTCTGAAAAATCAGAGTCAAGTACAAAAAAAAGTCTTCCCAATCAGAGTACATCCCCAAAAAACGTCTTGAAAAAGTCTGAATCAGAATAAAAAGTTTGCAATTTGGGGGCCTGGTTCCAGACCTTTCAGTTCGAGCCTCCTGGGCCTTTCCGAACCTCGCTTCTGAAAGAATTCGAAAGGTGGTGCAGGAGACTAAGTATAGAATTTGCAGACACAAGTACTTGAAGTAGAAAGTAATACTGGAATTACCTCCAGTAACAGCCAGTACTAACAAGTTGTAACGTCAGAGTCAGTGTTATAGCCTTGCGATACTTCAAAATTAACCAAGGATCTTTGCTCGAATGGTAGACTTAGTAAGACAGCAGAAGTCTTAGAACTTGTAAAGTGTTGACCAGAATTTACTCAAGAACAAGTTAATAATTGAAGTTGTACAAGCTACTTTTATATCTGCTAGAAGTACCTATTCGGTGATGTACCTGTTCGAGCTATTTGGGCTATGCGCTCTAACCACTACTGAAAAGAGCGCGACTGTTCACGTGACTGAAACGGCTTGCTGACGTAACCATCCAGACGAGCGCTATTTGCTGACGTCACTATACTGAGGCTATCTACAGTGTAACTCGACAATATCTATCGGAACTACTTACAGAAATGCTTAAGTACGATTTTACCACAACACTCCCCTTCATTTCTTGAAGTCCGAAAGTATTACTTCTTGATAATCCCGCAGAGCTCGTTGCAGTATTGAAACTTATGACGTGTCTGCTTCTTGGTGAGAAATTCTGCAGCCATTTCATTTGTCGAACAGTAGACCAATTGCATTCTCCCCTTCTCGACTTCACCTTTGACGAAAAAGTAACGTAGCGAAATATGTTTCGTCTTGTTGGCGAAACCAGGTTGATGTGCAATTCTGATTGCACTTTGATTGTCGCACTGCAGGGTGAACTGTGTACTTGTCGTCAATTTCGCCTCCTCCAGTAGCTCTTGAAGATAGAGACCTTCGCGAGTAGCTGTGCAGGCAGTTATAAACTCAGCTTCAGCAGATGAAAGAGCTACTGGTTTTTTCTTGGTAGAATTCCACGAGATACACTGACGGAAAGAATTGTCCACATGTTTGGCAATTTTTTGAATTTCCACCGTTAAAGGGCATTTGTACATTAAGCCTTAATTGGAGGCATTACCCACTATATGCAGGCCAATCTAGGGACAAAAAAAAATGCTACACATTTGATGAAACTACTATCGGTAACAGTAAAAAGCAAAGATAACCAAACACGGTGCATGTGGACAACTAGTTCCAGGCGGAAGCAGCAACTTGAACAACCCTTAAACTAGTACCTGGTCCACCGCCCTTTAGCCCTAATCACTGCTTTCACCCTCCTGGGCATGCTGTCGATCAAATTGGAGCACACCTCTGATGGGATCTTCTCCCACTCCTCTTGTACACGCTCCCACAGGTCCACCATACCAGTGGGAGCTGTCTCATGCTTTCCCAGCTCCCTTTAAGATGAGCCCAAAGATGCTAAATGGGGTTCAGATCAGGACGTCCTGCCGGCCACTCCAGGACCCCATACTCCTGCTCCTGAAGCCACTGCTGCACCACACGGGACTTATGCTTGGGGTCGTTATCATGCTGGAAGATCACAGCCAAGGGGGTTAGCTTGTAAAATTCGATGGTTTTCTTCAGCTCGTCTTGCAAATGCTCAGATATAGCGGCCCGTCCATCCGACCATCGATTTTGCACATGAAACCCGCCCCCTCAAACGTCATACATCCCCAGATCATCACGCCGCCGCCCCCGTGTTTGACGGTTTGCTTGATCTGGTGGTGTTGGAGAGTCGTACCTTCACGAACCCAGGCGTACGCGCGGCCGTCAGAGCAGAACCTACTAATCCTCGTCTCATCCGACCATATGACCCGTCGCCAATCATCTATGGTCCAATCCGCGTGGGCCCGTGCGAACGCCAGCCTATCGCGGATATTTTTCTTGGAGAGTCGCGGCTTCTTAGGCTGCTGAACTGCGATAAGGCTGCTGGATTTGAGCGCATTACGCACCGTCCTAGGATGCACCGTGATGCCGTGCTGGGATTCGACGATCTGGGCCGCATGCCTCGAGGTTTTCGCCTCGCCGCTAGTGATCGCCCTGACAATCCCATGACGAATTCTATTCGTCAGTACGCGTGGACGACCAGCAGTGGGTATTGTAGGACGTACGTCCTCGGGACTAGTCTTTGAAATCGCCTTGAGCCCGACATCATGTACTGTACTTTTCCCAACGCCAACCTGTTTCGCGATTTGCCTCGTGCTGTACCCCCTACGCAACAGGGCTATGATCCGGGCGCGACGAGCCTCATCTATCGGTCTCATCTTGGCGTAGTCTACGCCTCGAGTATAAACTCTATTATGACTAATCGACGATTGCGTTAGGAACTATGGAGAGAATGCGCTAGTCGAAAACGGATCTAGTCCGCTGCTTGGCCGAAACTGTCCGGATGCACTCACGCGACTGAAATCTTGTCCACGCTATTAGTGCGACCACTTCAAATTGCAAACGTGTTACCCTATTGCAACTGGCACTCGTTACTTACTAGTCAACTTTGAAGATTCAACGATACATCGGTTGAAACCATTCAAATCATGTGTTGAACCTAAAATTGGACTTTATCCGGACAATACTTTCCGTCAGTGTAGTTCCAATAGGCTCGAGGCTATAGATGAATCCGGTTCGTGATCGACGATTAGTAGTATCTGCTGCATGATCAGCATCGACGTACCCGTTAAGATAGAAGGTTTTCGAAGGAGTAGCTTGGTAGGTAAGTCGGACTTCAGGTGCCGAAATGAAATATTGCAGAGCGCGAAGAAGATCTAGCCGATTCTCCCCCTCAGGTCGACGGAGAAATTGCGCGAGCTGGCTAGCGGCATAGGCGAGATCCGGATGACACGTAATAGCTGCGAATAGAAGGCAACACAGTTGCCGCTGATAAATTTGTAGTTCCGCGTTATCGAGTGGAGTAGAATCCGGTTGATGGTTGTTCGGTAAAGATCGGAAGGAGTAGTTACGGTTGAAGCCGTGAGATTAAAGTGTGCGGCTAGCGTAGCTGCATACTTGGAAGCTGTTAGATCAGTAGCAGTTTCAGTTTGGTAGATATTCAGTCCGAGAAACTGTGTAACCGTAGATGCGATAGTAATCTGTAAGTTCTGTTGAAGTTTTTGATCGAAGATAGTAGCGAGAGAATCCGTAGTGCTGATGTAAAGTAAGTCGTCGACGTAGGCGACGAGTAAAATGTAGTTGGTACCCTCGGTAAGTAGGTACATTCCTTGGTCATGTGGAAGCTGACGAAACCCGACATTTAAAAGTTGACGGTGTAGATACTGCTGCCAAAGTCGTGGTGCCTGTTTGATTCCGTAGAGAGATTTTCTGAGACGGCACACGCTGGGAGGATTAGTGTCGTAAGATTGCAGAAATTCGACCAGGATTAGTGCGTCGACAGGCGCATATAGAAAAGCGTTGGCGACATCGATTTGACGAAGTTCGAAATTCTGGTAGGCCACGATGCAGAGAAGAATTCGGACCCTAGTGTGTCGACCGATGGGAGCAAAGGAAAGTTCGTAGTCAATCCCGAAAGTTTGCTCGAAGCTGCGGACGACCCATCGCGCCTTGAATTTTTTGAAAGATCCATCAGCGTTCGTCTTGACGCGGAAGACCCATTTTCCGGTAAGAACTTTACTCCCCTTTGCTTCCTTTAGTGGGATAAGATCCCATGTGCCACACTTTTTCAGAGCTGCTAGCTCTCTGTCCATGGCTTCGCGTCATTTTTCCTTGTAAGGACTTGTTAAAGCTTGGCGAACTGTTTTCCGCTCCAAAATGTTACTGCTGTTTGACTGTACTACGACTGCAAGTCCCAAAACTTGTAGACCAGTCTCTGTAAAACGCGGACGATTTGAATTGACACCGGTGAATTTGTGTTCTGATCCCTGTTCAAGTGTGACACGTATCGCTACTTCAAAGACAACGGGCATCGGTTGCTGTTGGCGGTCACGTTCGTACTCGAGTTCAACATCGTGAACATCTTCAGGGTCGGCGTCAACAAGTGGAATAAACTCCGCAGTTCCAGCTGACGTGGTTGGCACAGGGACGTCTGTGGCAGCTTCAGAGGATTCAGCAACAGATTCGTCCTGAACATCTGCTTCGGCGTCGTCGGTGGCAAAAGAACGCGAGCCCTCGAACAGCCTGGCAGGATTGGCAGCTGCTGCCTGGTGAGCACAAAAAATAGGTAAGGTTAGGCGTTCGTAGAAAAGACAATCACGTGCTGCTACGATTTGACTCGTGCGAAGATCCATGATTTCCACGCGTAAAACTGTTAGGATTAAGGACAGAGTCTAGGTGAACTTAGGAGCTAGAATTACTCAAAATATAAATCCGAAATTCTGGACAGAAAAGTCGTCTTTACAAGAAACGACGTCGACAAAACACTAGCCGTTGGAATGTCGCGAAACTTGGATATGTTGTAGCTCTTGATCTCAGCTACCGTTCCCAATTTGAATCACGTTGATTGATGAAGTATTCGCGACGCTATGGCTTTCGACGCACTAGGGGGTAAGCTGTAGGAGGAGAACTTAACTCAATCTCAAAGGTTCAATCAAAGTTCAAGAATCTCACAAGGAATTAGAAGGAGCAAGAGAAAGGTTGGGATAGGAAGAGAGGGATGAGAGGGAAGGTCCCAAGAGAGTCCCCAACCAAGGAAACCCCATAAGCACAAAGATTCCCTCCCTATAGGAACCTCAACTTTGACCTTTGTCCCTTCCCAACCAATCCATCCAAGTTGGCCACCCTTGCCAACCTAGCTTGGTTGTTCCCAACCAATTTGCAGCTGTTACAGTAGAGTGACAAGTTTCCCCAACCCCAAAGGTCCCAACTCCATATAAAGTCACCCCACAACTTCACTTAGTAACCGCCGCAATTGTAACGCAAGCTCATGAACTTTGAATCTTCATAGCTTTCGCGTTCTTGCTCCGATTGAAGCGATTCTTGTTGCGTCGGAAAGATCTTCTCAAGATCTATTATCACAAATACCTGCTCAGACAGAATAACACAAAACACATTCCCAAACTCCAGAACACACCACACACAAATGCTTGCACATTCAAACCACACATGCAAGTTGAAAAAACATGGGATGGGAGGCAGACAGAATGTGATAGCATATGATGACATCACACAACAATCTCCCCCTCTGGCTGCCAACCATCATCCACCATACCACATCTCAAGCATGCATACTCAATGCACACTCATCCCAGCAAGCTTCATGCCCTTCCAATGATCCGCCTCCGCCAGACGCTTGGTGAAAATATCTGCTGCCTGCTGATGGGTCTTCACTATCTCCAGCCGCACCTCCTTATCAAGGAGTCTCCTCACCCAATGCCACTTAGGCCTTATGTGTTTTGTCAGCCCATGCAGACAAGCATTCTTGGCGAGCTTCACAGCGGACTCATTGTCACAATGTCCATCTGCCGTATCTTCCATCCCAGGAGTGCAGCTATCGCTAACAGCACCCTCAGTGTTGTTCCTTTCCCCACAGGAGCAAACACCTCATCATAGTCCTTCCCCTTTGTCTGCTGAAACCCCCGTGCCACAAGCCTAGACTTGTAGCGGGTCAGCTCCCCTTCAGGTCCATACTTGTGCCTGTAGATCATCTTGGAAGTGATTGCCTTCTTTCCAGGAGGCAAGTCACACAGGTCCCATGTCTCGTTTTCAATCAGGGACCCGAACTCCTCATCCTCACTCGCCTTCCACTTCTCCCCATTTGGTCCATTCAAGGCCTCCTCTCGAGTCTTGGGCTCAGGGATTGGTGCCCAGTAGCAGTGAGCGATCTCATCTTCCTCAATCTGCTCAACCACACTCCCAGCCTGCACCACATTTGGCTTGCCTCTTCCCCCATAGGTCAGCCTCACTGGAGGGCGCACATCCCTCCTAGGACGCTCAGGCGGGTGTGGAACTCGAGGTGGAGACTCATGCTGCTGCTGCTGCTGCTCTACTTCAGCTGCTCCCCCTTCCTCAGTCACCCCAGACATCTCCTCCTCTGACACTGCAACCTCCACCTGTCTTGAAGGCTGCTGCACCTCATCTGCCTCCACAATGAGCGGTGTAGATGGAAGCTTCTGTTGCTGCTGCTTCCATTCCTTGTAGTACAGGGACTCAAGAAACTTCACATCCCTTGACACTGTCAACTTCTGGGTGGTCAGGTCCCATAGCAGCCACCCCTTGTGATCCTTTGCAATCCCCAAGTGCACACCCCATCTTCCAGAAGCCTCCAACTTCCCCCTTTTCTCCTTAGGCACATGAAACACCACCATGCACCCAAATGCCCTCAGCATGTTCACAGCTGGAGCACTCCCATACCACTTGACATATGGGATCCACTCCTTATCTCCAACTGTAGCCAGCACCCTGTTCTTCACAAGGGCGACCTGCCTCAGTGCAGACACCCAAAACGGATCAGGCAGCCCTGCACGCCCAAGGAGAGTGCGTGCCCCCTCCTGCAGGGTCCTGTTGAACCTCTCAGCCACGCCATTCTGCTGCGGGTTGTAGGGCACTGTCAGTTGATGTTGGATCCCCTTCCTCTTCAACTCCCCCTCAAAATCAGCTCCAATGAACTCCCCACCATTGTCACTGCGGATCACCTTCACCTTGTATCCGCATTCCCTCTGAGCTCTAGGCATCCACTCCTTAAGGACAGCCGCTGCCACCTCCCCCTTGCTCTTCAAAGGGTAAACCCACACTGCCCGAGTGTGGTCATCCACAATTGTCAAGAAATAGCGGCTGCCTGAGAGGGAAGGGGCTCTTGTGGGCCCCACCACATCCATGTGCACAAGTGCAAGTGGGGTCTTGGCTGGTCCTGTAGTGCTGTTGAAGGGGAACTTGGAGAACTTGGTCTCCAAGCATGTAGGGCAGCTCCCAATCTCCTTCACTCCCCCTTTCACCTCCAAGCCCTTCAGGCTCCCATCCTTCACCAACTTCTGCAGCATAGGGAAGTTCACATGACACAGCCTCTCATGCCATGTCTCCCAATCGGCCTCTCCACTCCTTGATGAAGCCTTAGCCCATGCCGCACTCGCATCCACACCAGCAAGCACCTCACCATGTGTCTGCTGCTTCTGCACTTTCTTGACTGCTTCCAGCACCCCATCAGTTGGTGCAGTTGCATCTCCTCCTGCTGTTGCCTTTGCCACTGCTGCCGTTGCTGCTGTTGGAGTCTTCCCATTCCATGGGATGATGGGCAGCTGCCACAGGTCCTTGATGCAGCTGGTCTCCTCTTCCAGACTCCACAGCACCTTCTTCCCAGGCTTAGCACGGCAGCTGGTTGGTCCAAAGGTCACTTCGGCCTTGCTCTTCTGCAGTCGTTGCACAGAGAGAAGGTTAGCAGACAAGCCTTCAACCAGCAGAACATTCCCAAGCCCCACAAGCTCCCCATTAGCTCCCTTAACCTTGGCATTCCCAACACCAATAACGGGGAGCAAAGCACCTGACGCTGCTGCCACATACTTAATCTTCCCAGGGGGTTTTACCTCATCAAGCAAATCTGCCCGTGGAGTCATGTGACTGGTGCAACCCGAATCAATCACCCAGTGCGTGAGAGGGTGCATCACAACCTTTCCCACAGATCCCACATCACCCTCATGCCCATGCACATCCTCAACCATAACAAACAAACCAGGATAGGCATTACCTTGTGCACCTTCACCTTGTGCACCTGAGCCTTGCACAGCGCCACCTTGTGCGCGTTCACCACTGGGCGGCTTCATGCCTGGAGGTGCCCATCCCTCCAGCCTGCTGAAGCACTTGAACCAAGGATGCCCGACCTTCTTGCAGTACCAGCACGTGCCCTCCATTCTGGTACTCCCCCTGCCACTAGAGCTCCCATGCCCCTCATTATAGTCACCTCGGCCTCTACCTCTGCCAAAGCTCCTCCCACGGCCTCGGCCTTTCCAACCCCCTCTTCCTCTGCTGCGCCCTGCAGCTCCATACCCCTCAGCAGTCTTAGTGGCAGCACCGCCTCCCACATGGCGTCTGCGGAAGTCCTCCTGCAGAATCTGCTGCCTTAGCCACTCAGGTGTCCATTGATCTTGCTGAGAGTTGAGGGTGGGGATGAGGTTGTCCCAAGAGTTGTCCAACACCGAGATGATCTTGGTGCACTGCTGCAGCTGAGATACACTGCTGCCCGCTGCTGCCATCCTTGCATAGGTGTCCTTGATCTTGTCAAGGACCGGCTTCACATCGTCCCCTGGTCGCATGGAGATGGCAGCAAGTTCCTTCTCGAGCACGATCACCATCGGGAGAGTGTTGGGCTGAATCACATCGCGTAGTAGTTTCCACGCCCTTGGACCCGAATCATCCGCTTCCACAAGATCCTTGATGTGCTCGAACATCTCCTTGTTGACCGATTGAAGGATGAGGTCGAAAAGCACCGCGCTTTTCTCAATCCACCGTTCGCGTGCTTCGCCTTCTTCCGGCATCTTCTCTTCCCCAACAGCAATCTTCAGTAGCTTGTAGCGTTTGAAGGCACTCCTCATCCGTCCGCTCCATTCCTCATAGTTGGAGCCATCCAAAGCTTCAACTTTTGATGGCGGCGGCTCACTTGTCTTCTCAGCTACAGCTCCTCTTCCATTAGCATCTCCTCCTCTCTCATTCATCTTCTCCTTGAGAAATGACGAATTTCAGCCCCCCTTTGCTGTCCACACTCAGCTCCCTCGATATTTTCACAAGTGTCGGCGTCCACGAAATTTCGGCAGAGTTTCCCTTAGCGGAAGACACATCCAACCTTTAGAACACCACTTAGGCACACCCACAGGCCATGGTGGGTCTAGAAGGGTCTTCACACTTCTGTAGACTCCTCTCAACGTCCTTAATACAGCTCTGATACCACTTGTTAGGATCAAGGACAGAGTCTAGGTGAACTTAGGAGCTAGAATTACTCAAAATATAAATCCGAAATTCTGGACAGAAAAGTCGTCTTTACAAGAAACGACGTCGACAAAACACTAGCCGTTGGAATGTCGCGAAACTTGGATATGTTGTAGCTCTTGATCTCAGCTACCGTTCCCAATTTGAATCACGTTGATTGATGAAGTATTCGCGACGCTATGGCTTTCGACGCACTAGGGGGTAAGCTGTAGGAGGAGAACTTAACTCAATCTCAAAGGTTCAATCAAAGTTCAAGAATCTCACAAGGAATTAGAAGGAGCAAGAGAAAGGTTGGGATAGGAAGAGAGGGATGAGAGGGAAGGTCCCAAGAGAGTCCCCAACCAAGGAAACCCCATAAGCACAAAGATTCCCTCCCTATAGGAACCTCAACTTTGACCTTTGTCCCTTCCCAACCAATCCATCCAAGTTGGCCACCCTTGCCAACCTAGCTTGGTTGTTCCCAACCAATTTGCAGCTGTTACAGTAGAGTGACAAGTTTCCCCAACCCCAAAGGTCCCAACTCCATATAAAGTCACCCCACAACTTCACTTAGTAACCGCCGCAATTGTAACGCAAGCTCATGAACTTTGAATCTTCATAGCTTTCGCGTTCTTGCTCCGATTGAAGCGATTCTTGTTGCGTCGGAAAGATCTTCTCAAGATCTATTATCACAAATACCTGCTCAGACAGAATAACACAAAACACATTCCCAAACTCCAGAACACACCACACACAAATGCTTGCACATTCAAACCACACATGCAAGTTGAAAAAACATGGGATGGGAGGCAGACAGAATGTGATAGCATATGATGACATCACACAACAAAAACTGCTTCTCGATGCCAAGATGTATTCCCCACTTAGCGTGTTCAGAAAAATTTCCCAGTGCAGCTGTCGGGGTCGATACTGGGCGATGCACCTGTTATAATCACAATAGGCTTAGTTGTGCCTATAATGAGAGATAGAGAGCACAGTCGGATTTCCGTCAGACGGCTTCAAATATTGATAACGATCTGGTCACTGAATCAAACGGTGATCTGTAAGTTGGATCTGGAGCGCGTTGCTGTCGTCTATCAGCAGCAAGTTGAATCATGAAAGTTCATGAAGATTTGACGACGCTATGGCGGTTTGACTGGCAGGAGGTATAGCAGCCACTATAGTCTTGGAAGTACAAACTTAGCAAGAAGAGTTCGAGAGGGAGATGGTTCCCAGCCTCTACATACCCCAAGAGCCGAGGTCCACGTTGGTGGTACACCACCACAGAGTCCCCAACCATGAAGAGTCTCGAAACCAACCCTCCAAGGGGCTACACCAAGTGAAATGTAACACTACACGAAGTAACGTTACTATTTTCACTATTTAATATTTATCCGCGTCCCTTGGGCTTGAAATCTTGAGCTCTTGGTCTTGGTTCTGCAAGATAAATTCTTCTTGAGTTGATGGGGGCTTGCTGCACACACCTGCGACACGATGGACACTTCACACTCGACAAAATAGAAATAACACATGCGACACGCAAACGACGACTTGACATGCGAGTTGTAAAAACTCGCTAATGTCTTGACCGACACAAACCACATTGTGATACACCATTCAAACACACACACAAGCACTGGATAGCAATGACATAGACTCACAATTCATTCCATGCCATGCATGCACACACACAAGCAAGGACGACAAGCCGAGTGCAAGCCATAGGGTTGCACCAACAAACTCCCCCTCGGATTGTTGGCCTTAGAATCTGCTCCCCTTAGTTCAGAGCCATCCCAGCAAGCTTGCAACACTTCCAATGCTGCTGCTCAACCAGCCTCTTGGTCATCATATCAGCAGGCTGCGCCGTCGTCTTCACGTAGTGCAACTCCACTTCACCCGCGGTTACCATGCTCCTCACCCAATGCCACTTCACCTTCATGTGCTTGGTAAGGCCATGAAGAACCGGGTTCTTAGCCAATGCAATAGCACCCTGGCTATCACAATAGAGTGGGGTAGGTCCTTGCTGCTCCTCCCCCAATTCAGCTAGCAAACGCCGCTGCCACACAACCTCTCTTATGGCACGGAAGAGTGCCATGTACTCGGACTCCACCGAGCTCAATGCTTGGTCCACTTGCTTCTTGCTCTCCCAAGCTGTTGGCCCTCCACCAACATTGCAGATGAAGCCTCCCACACTTGTCATGTCCTCTGGTTCTTATGCCCAAGATGCATCAGAGAAGGCGGTGAGAAAGAGCCTCCCGGGTTCGA